TGAGGAAATCCTGGAGCAGTGACATGCCCAGCAGCCACGTCCCATGGTTAGCCTGTCTGCACTTGCAGTGAGGCCACACCACCTGCACCAGCCAAGACAAAACCACTTGCACTGCTTCTTAGAAGAGCCCTGACATCACCCGCCACAAGAGAACAGACTGATTTATACATCACCTGAGATCAGGTCTCCAGGAATAATACAGACAAAAACTGTTAGATATGGGGATATGTGAGGTTTATGCTACTGCTGGGACTGGCTAGATAAGGTACAGAGTAATGATGTTCTTCCTTTTCCAGTGTGAGTGAAGCTAGGAGTGTGTTTATGGCCCATATGCTTGCCCTGATTTAGTTTCCTCCCCTCCCCTCACTGGAAAAGCTGTCACTGAAGTCAAACACTTCTCTTGCTCAAAATGCCAATGTCACTGCATCTTTCTGAAACCTGATCTCGAACAAGTCTCTGGCCTGGAAAATAAGGGCTGAGTTGTTGCACAAGACAATTTTCAGTTAAGTAATCACTAATTATAATAGAAATAATTATATGATTTGGAAGAGAGCAGTAATGATTTTTTTTTTCTTTTTTAATTTGCAGCAATAACCATGAAAGTAATTTTAGGTTGATTTAAAGGTTTTGCAGAAACACAACAGCTTGCATATAGGTCAGTCCTTGCATGCGTGTAAAAATTACATTACAGAAGCATATTTTGCTTTCATTCCCAGCCATCTCCCATTCTCACAAAGATGACATCAAAATTGGCTGTTGCTGCCCTCTTTCCTCTTAAAAGTGTACAATTTCACTTTTTAGCATAAAACTGTGAACATGCAGTTGATCTGCTGGAGACCAGTAAATGCCAACTATGCCTCTGAAGCTTAATTCTATTGGTTTTTCTGGTTCATTACACATTTAAATTTCTGGTGCAATATGGTATTTTTCTTTTCAAACTCGAGATATACTATTCAAATCCCCAGTTGCTATAAATCTGCAGAGTGGCTACTAATTTACAGTGCTGGGATCCTGGCTTGCTGTTTCTTTTTACTACACAATGTTCATCTCAATGGAGAAAAAAAGTTTACCTGGTCGAATTGCTGAGACTGGTAATATCCGATGACCAATAAATTTCCCTCCTTCTTCATACACTGCTAGCCTCAAACATGCCAGGGAAGGTAAAACAACCTAGAAGGCAATATTGTTGCATTATTAACTTCCTGCTCTAAACAAAACAGTTCCTTCCAGACATAGGCTATATAGCAGACAGAAAGAGAAATTCAGTCTAGCAGATAGTAGTAGAATTTGCACATCCATATAAGAGGTCAGGGTGGATGCACCTCTGCATCAAAATAGCTCTTATAGAAACATTTGTCAATGAAGAAACTCCAAGTGGGATGTGTGCATAATAAGTTGAACCCAGCGATTTGACCCTACATTTTCAATAAGATAACAGCTCAACTCCTATCACATTTGAATGTCTCTGTTTTCTGCTTACTACTCATAGCCCTACAGGTTTTTTTTTCCTTTGTGTTTGTGCCAGTGGGATTACTTACTTCTGAGAAAAGTCACTGATAGGCATATTAGTGCTGAAAACTCAAACAAGAAACTTCAAGCTGTTTTGCAGAGTGTGAATCTATGAATTACATGAACCATGTCAACCCCAGCAGAATTTTCCAGTGCTGCAGCAAACTCACTGGCTGAGTTAAACATGTTTAATCAGGCAGGATGTTTATTAGCAATGGATGCTTGCTTGGCACTATGTAAGATGGCCAAACAGTGAAAAAAGAAAAGAAGAAATTAAAAAAGATTATTTAAACTACCCTACTAAGATAGGAATCTCTAATATTACTTTAAAAAATGTGTAGCATAATTAATCTCATTTTCTTACTTAATGCAAATATACATAAAAATACACATATTTTTAACCTGGGCATAGATATGCATTTTTTTTTTCAGAATATACACTAAAATGTATCTATACAATGAAAGAGAGAAAAAAAAAAGGCAAGAATCCAAGCCAGAGTTTTTCTAATTATTTTCAAGATTACTAAAAATAGTAATCTATGCTTATTTGAGCACAGAGGCAGCCAGACACGATCGTTAACTAAATAAAGAAATGAAGTACATTAATTAGAAGTTCATTACAGAAGAAAAATGCTAGTGATGTTTCCAAACTTAAGCTCTGGCAGGCTGCCAAAGGAAAGTCATTCAGAAGGCCAAATATTCAGGGAAAAGGGCTGTACTCCCTAGAAAGCAGGGCTGCAAGCACCAATTGCATAAACACCTCTGTCAACTACATTTGCCTAGAGAAATATGAAATAAATTGTTTTCCAAGCACCTGGACTCAGGATCAGATCCCCTTAACCACAGTGCCCAATAAGCAAAACTCAGAAATCCTGTTAGAAAACTGGCTGCTAAGTAGATTGTGAAGCACAAGACGACATTCACGTTGTACACTCGTAAAACAGGCGCAGTATTTTCTGCTCCCTCAAATTTAGAGAATTGAGCCCGAGTAATATTGTTTAAATTACATGAGTAACTCAGGAGCCTATGGCTCATTTCAAGAGGATGGGATTTATGTGATTTCATCTCCTAGGTTGTATTTATATAGCACAATCTCGCGCTAAGCAGAGATAACAGATTGCTTTGAATGTGTTAGCTTGGGACAGCCAGATTGTTACAGCTGTATTAACATCGTCTTGCTTGCACATTAACAGGATCTGCTTTCCAGCAGGGATGTCCAGCTAAGGCAAAATGGTAATTCAGCTAAACTGCTGCTAGGATCTGTGCTTGTTCATCACATGGCACTGCACCGTGCCCTGCTGATGAGCCTATATCGACATGTCTGCTGTTTCCAGCTGCGTCAGTGAAAGAATCAAGGTGACTTTAAACTCATTTATCTGAGTAGGAGCTGTCAGGACTAGAGTAGCAAAATTACACCAAAAGTGGTTAACAATGAACAGTTGAAGAAACAACCATTTAGAATCTCTTCATCTTCTTTCTAACAAATGCAAATTTCACTAATGGGGAGAACTACTGTACTGGACAGTGATAAAACAAGCACAATGCACGTTTGGGAAACAAGCCTTACACCAACCTTCTTAAACACTATGGTTTCCTCTTCCCAGACAGGATTAACTGCATTGCCTTGAGAGGTCTTGGTCTTCAAAGCTTTTCTTCTTGTATCCACAGGCAGGCCAAACATGTCCACTTCTACATAGGTACCAACTTTTTTATCAGAAAGAAACTGACCTGAAATTATCTAAAACCAAAACAAAGGAGAATCACTAGAGACCGCTTCGGTTGCTTAGGAAATGAGTGGCTGAAATGCAGATAGATAATTCTCATTAATGATCAGAGAGTATGCATTTAAAATAAAACCAAACCAAACCAAAAACCACAATAAACAAAAAAACACTGTTCAATATTGCAGGCACAGAAAAACAACTTATGAGGCCTGATTTCCTGTGACCCTGTGGTCCTGAATTCCCCTATGAGCGATAATGTGGTTGAGATCATGCTGCTGCCCTTCCCTCAATCATTTGGATCTCATTCCTAAATCTGGCTGCCTATTTCCACAACACAGCATTTTTGAGAACTCTTGTTTCTATCCAGTTTCAACAACAGGTTCAAAAAAATGCTGGAAGAAAAGAGGACTAAGAGAGAGAAACTATATATGTTTTTAACAAGCTAAAAAGTTGGTATTTAATAAAGGTTCTTCACAGAGGGTGAGGAGTTTCACTATGAAAATAAGACAAATATAAAATAGCTGTTTTAGTTCTTATTTTTAACAGGAAACACAACTCTCAGCTTTAAAAAGTTAAAGGTCTGCAACTATATCAGAAAATGGAAGAGGATTAGGAATATGTAGCAGTGTCACTGTACCTTAACAAATTCAGGTTTGCCTAAAGCAAATCTTAATCCATTCTCAGCTGTATCTTGTATGAGCACTGACATTACAAACAGCAGAGTCTTCACCAAACATGCAGAAGCAGCTGACTTCTGACAGCTGTCTCATGACTCCTGGATGTTCATTCATGTCAAAAATGCTGTGCATCTCCTAATGGCTATTGAATGACTTCCACTTCCATTTATTAAAATCACAGAAGAAAGTGCCTCTAAACCCACAGAAGGACCTGAAAGCTTCCATATTTACAGGTCACCACAAAAGGTCATTCCCACACAGTCATCTTTTTTTACCATAAATGTCATCAAATTATTACTTTATTCATATCCCTCCCAGCACTGCTCTGCTATGCCTGTGTCTGCAGCCTGAGAGGAAATACTTGCTTTGTCTAAAAGAAAACAGGAGGATATTTTGCAGGTGGATTCTATAATACAGACACTCTTGTAATGGACAAGTCCATTAAAGGAATAACAGGATTTCAGAAAGTTTATGTTTTTATAACTAGAGATATACCAAGTATAAATTTGTGATCCTCACATAGCCAATGCAATCTATCCCTCTAAACATTCATACAAGTAGTTTTCAATTTGCAGATTCGTAGTGGTCCTTGAACTTCATTAGAGATCCTTAAAAAGGAATGAAGAAAAGCAAGTTGGCAAAGAATTGCAGCTGACATTTATGGTTCCACAGTTCTGCTGGAGAACTTAGAGGGAACCAGAAAATTTATTTATACTCAAAATAGCATACTGTTCTAACAGCATGCTTTAGATTCAGCTCTTTGTTACTAAAAACACAGACAAACTACTCTTAAATACTTTCACTTTCCTATTACTTCTATGGAAAAAAATATATAGAATAAAAATACATTTACTTATCCTACAATATGAAATGTGAGGCAGAAGATCTTCTTCAATTTAAAAATGAAATGTTACTTCACGAAATAAAATGCATTTTATTTTCTCGATTTAGTAGAGTCATTTGCTAGGTCATTGCATAACAGAAATATATCTATGCTCTAACACTGACATGACAGCAGTTTTACCAGCTGCATACATACCTTGACAGACAAGGTGTTAGCTACTATTCCATCCACTATACTTTCAGTAAATGGATCAAAGTGTTTGTCTGGTCTTCTCATGAATTCTGGCTTTAACCTGTATCCGCTTTTGCCATTGTACTCATACATTCCCATGTTTATTTGCATAGACAAATCTAGGTGTTGAAGATATTGATAAGAATAATGTTCTGGTTAGATAACAATTTAAAAAAGCAATAAAATAATACTATTTATTGTAATTTTAAACCAAGTGTAGTGTAAACAGCTATTTATGGCACACTGTTTCTTGTTAAAAGAAGTTTCAGCTGTGATTTCAGCCACTCTCTTCGATTCTTTTCACAAGAAAAAGACATCTGTAAGACATCTTTCAGAGACTATTCAATAGACAACATCTTCAAATTTGAAAAGAAGCCTTGATAGTTAGGTTTTGAGTCTCTCAGTGTTACACTGTTGTACCTGACCCAGCAGAGTACTTATGTTTCTAACCTCTTCTAACATCAGACAGTAGGTGCTTGATACTTGGTTGAAACTAGCCCAAAGATGTTTTGGTTACTCTGCAGACTCCCAGCCTGTGTAGGGTTTTGCTTTCCATGGAAAGGCAGTGTATACATGGGCACAACTGGAAAGGAAAAAGGGAATGAAGCCATGGTACCATGTGCCCAGAGGCAGAACATGGCCAGCAAATGTCCTGGGATGCAGTAGATGGAAATACTGGTATGTCCCAGAACAGACATAGCCTTGGAAGACAACATATTTTATTTCAAAAGTGATTTGTGCATCTAGGAACCCAATGTCTTTGTTTCTTAAACGCTCACTTTTGAAGTGAAATTTGCTGTCTAAGTCCCTTATGTCTTGATATCCTGAGATTCTGGAAGACATGGGAAAAAAACAAAAAACCTCTGCCAGATCTGAAATGCTGCTCAATGGTAACCACTTACAAATGATGACAATACGGGGGGCATTATGTATGCATAATATACTAGCTACAGCATGGTCATATTCCTAGTTAAAAAAACCCAACAAACAAATAAAACTCTGTAAAAAATGTTAATTAAGAGCTCTGTAATACCATTCAATCTCTAGACATCTTTTGATGCACAAAGCTTTTCCTGCCTACAAATTGGAAACTGTATCAGAGAAGTGATAAGATGCAGCTTACAAAATCTAGAGACCAGCATAACTTACCTACAGTTTGGAAGTTAAGAGCAACCATTTGGCAGCCTGCGTTCCAAAAGACTTGTGGCATGTAGTTTGAGGAATCAACACGTGTTCCCTTTGGGTAAATTCGGCTTAGCTGCATTTTGTTGTATCTACATGGTGAGTAGTTAAGATATAGTACGTGTGACAAAAACCACTTTGCAGACAAGTGCAACTGCAGTATTTAAAGGCAGATGTTCTTTACAGAATGGCAGTGGGTTCCTTATTGAATTTCTGCAATCATAATGCTTCCAGAGGTCCACAATTTTGTAGAAGATATGATAAATATAGGGTAATTTAAGGTGCTGTTTGTTCTTGTGCAGAGTACTCAGAGTAAGCAAGAAAATAGCACAGGCATATGCATTAAAAAGATAGCATTCATAAAATTCCATTTATCATTATTGTTACTAATTTGGGATTTTCCTAAGATTGCATTTATAGGGGCCAAACAGCTGTAAACAGCGAATCTTCCTCTGGTGGGAGTAGAAGTGCTCAGTTAAAACATAAATGCTCTTCTGGCATCACATTAGAATTGGCCTCTACATAGAGACAGAAGTGATGAGTGTGCACTTCTTACAGTTGAGTCTACAAATCTCAGAGATGAGAACATGCTGCAGGTTATCTGTGGAAATAGCTTTCCATTAATCTTCTTTAAGGTGCTATTTTATCTTGACCATTCATTCTTAACTGCAGCCATGATGGGAGACATTGAGAAACATCAAAAGGTCTAAACAGAATGCTCTTTAACTTTTTTTTAAAAGTTACAAAAAAAACCTGAAGTAAAAAAAAAAAAAAAAAAGAACTGTGTGGCAATGAAACAGCTCAGTGCTCGTAGAACTAGAGGTATGATGGGAAAGCAAGCTCTCTCATGTGATTTTGCAAAAAAACATCAGCCACATTGTGACAATTCACTCGCCACAACTCATACCACCTCATATAGGATGATAAATTTAACGAGAATAAAAAATATCAGGTCTTCAATATGTAGTTTATGCCTATTCCCTCTAGTCCTAGCCCACAGCACAAGGACTCATGCCAGCTTTTAAATTAGCTCATCAGAACTCAGGCCAATTAATTCATCTAGGAAGACAGTCAAATCTACAAATTTCATTTGCGTTACCTATTTCCCCAGCTCCCGACTCCAAATTTCAATAAAGCCCTGTAACAGATCTCAGATATAGAAAGGCTAAGAAAGCAGCTTTCTGAAAGTCAAGGATACTCCACAAATTCCACAGGAGACTTTGTAAGTTGCTCTAGCCCTTTGGTTTCCACAAAGGAAGACATTTCAAAACTTTTGTTGCGTTCTGAAAATTTGAAGGGGAAATAGAAGAGTGACAAGTTAGAGCATGAAATCATATGTGATACATGAACAGCAAACAACTCGTTTATTTTCAGTCCCCTTATCTACTGTTCACCAACTCATTTCACCTTGATCTCAAAGAATTTATGTCCACAGTTGTTTGTTGACAGCAGCAAGCTCACTCTGCACAAAAACTCAAGAGCTCCATCTGAACCCCCATGAGCACCACCCAAATAAAGAGCATTGGTACTGCCTGAGACTGCTACTGCTCCAGGTGCAGGCAACAGAAATTCAGTCAATGGGCAGAGATCTATCATGTTTCCTTGCAAAAACCACGTTGATATATTTGAGAGGTGGAGTCCAAAGCCCACAGGTGAGACACAGAGGCAACAGAGCAGCTTTTGTAGGGAACACAGAGGGCCCAGCTGGATCTCTAGATTGTCTTTGCAGGCAGATGCAAGGGCTTGGAGTCAATTTGAAGCTATAGTAACTAATGTCCGTATCAGATTAAACTAAGCAGTGTGCTAGCTGGGCCTACAGCGGTTCTTGTTATCTTCAGTATGTCAGAGGAAGGTCACATCTCTCTCAACAGTGATGGAAACACTGCTATCTAATCAAGCCTGAAGGTACACTCCTGTGTCCCAGCAGGTCTTCAGACCTAACCCCAGACTAACATGGAGCTTCTATGACCTCTTTAATTTGGTCAAACTTTCTGACCTGGGACAGTGATGAAAAGCTCTTTCTAAGCTTGTAACTCAGTGGGACTAAACATTAATTTGTGTATCATTTGTTACTCACCTTTGCCTGATGTGTGCACAGCCTTTTAATGTACCCATGCAACGTGCTGTAGCAGAGAGCCTAAGTCAAGACCCTTCTAGCTTCAGTAGTTTTTCCTTTACACTTTAATACAAAAGGTAAAGATTACTGTAAACTAACAGCTTCCCATTTCAGCACAATCAGCTGTGTAGATTGCCTAGAAGGGGCCACAGCACTGGGACATCACATCCATGACATATCTCAGCTCTTTAAGAATGAGGGAAACAGTGCCTGTGTGGAAACTTGAACTCTCTAGCACCACCACTTTATTGAAAGCAAACAATAAGGCCAAGAAAAGCTTTGCCCTCATCGGGTTTTAGAAGTAATTGTGCTGCAGTAAACCAGGGATGGCCAGGACGCCAGCCTGGCCAGCTCCTTGAAGTCAAACTGCGAAGCTGCAGGAGACACATGAAACTGAACAAAAGCACTGGTCTTGCAGAGAGAAGCAGGACAGAAACAGGTGGGCACTTGCCTTACAGGAAGCCAAAAAGGAAGCAGTGGATCCAAAGAAATGAGGAGCTAGATTGTTTGGGCCAACATGAGAGGAAAATGTGCTGCCAGTGTGCGAACAACAAACTATTCTTAGTGTGTGTTGGAAGATTCAGAGGATGACTGTGGTGATCCAAAAGTGATTCTCTCCTTCTAGGAGAGCTGGGACTCAAGATTTATTGTGGTCCCTATTTCTAATTATCAATCATTATGATACTGCCATTAGCTGTTATCTTCTAATGGCAAAAGATTCCTGCCATTCCCTAGAGCCTGCTCTCCTACCACCCCTCTTCCTTTCTAACAAGCAATATCCACTTTTTCTCCAGACTCAGAGACAGCTCAGTTCCAGACAGCTCACTTCTATCTCAGCTCCTTATAAAGACACCGAGATTATTCTTATTTCATCCTTCCCCATTACTAATGGGATAGCAATAGCAACACACCTCTGTAGTGGTTTTATTCTATTTAGAATACAGGTGCCAGAATTTGTTGTAGTATATAGTGTATCTCTCAGCCTTATCCTAAAGTAGAGCATCTGCAGGAAACCAGAACTGGTAGCTGCTAAATGACTTGGTTACCAAATGTCCAGGGCTTAATCAAAATCCTAATTAAAATAAGAGCAATTATTTCCTTGTAGTATCTGGAGAGGATTAAGAAATCTGTCCTTTGAAGAAAAGACTGTGCAGGAGGCACATTTCTCTCTCGTGATACATTATCAGAAGAAAGTCACTATGGAGTGAACAAACAACACACTGAAAAACTGCCTGAGCTCCTGTCAGAGAGAGGGAACATAACTAGTGAGAGCAATCAGGGGACTGTTACAGATCCAATGCTATTCAGCATTTCTGTTAACAAGTTGGATGCAAGATCAGAAAACGCACTCCTATAATGTGTGAATGACCGAAGCAGTGAGGTGCTGTTATCACCATGGAAGCCAGAATCACAAATAAAAACAAATTCTGAATTAGAAAATATTAAATTAGAAAAATGCTATAACTCTGAAATGATGAAACTGTACAAAAGACAAGCATGGAGCTCTACACCGAGGGACATGAATTCGGGTGAACAAAAATAAAATCTGGGCAACAACTGGCAGCAAATTAAAAACCAATCCTCATCTAACTCCTTCTTTATTCAACTCATCTTTGCTGAATTTAATGAAGGTCCAGCAGTGAGTCCAGGCCAGGACAAAGACCAGAACACACAAGCAATGCTATAGTGCCCACTGCTTTAACCAGCCAGCAACATCCACCACATAAGGCCACTGTTTTAATGAACTGGGCACATTTACCACATGATGTTTTTTGACACAAACACCAGAAACATTAACTCCTTAACATTATGAGTTCACAGAAACAGTATGATTGCTCAAAGATGGCATCAGGACTTCAGAGAAAAAGTCTGGACATGAGCAGTTCTTTACAAAAGACAAAACTTGGAAAGGCACAGGCGTGTGAACAGAAGAAATCTCCACAAGACAATTTTATAACAGTTGCATCAACTTGTCCTGCTAGGATTCACACGGCTTCCTTTCCAGCAGG